TGATAAACCATAATAAACCGCAATCCATGCACAACCTATTTCCAACCCAGATAATAAACCATAATAAACCACAATCCATTTACAACCCATTTCCAAGCCAGATGATAAACCATAATAAACCACAATCCATGCACAACCTACTTCCAACCCAGATGATAAACCATAATAAACCGCAATCCATGCACAACCTATTTCCAACCCAGATAATAAACCATAATAAACCACAATCCATTTACAACCCATTTCCAAGCCAGATAATAAACCAAGATAAACTACAATCCATTCACCAACCTATTTCTATTTCAACCTAAATGATAAACCATAATAAATCACAATCCATTCACAACCTATTTCCAACCTAAATAATAAACATATTAAACCACAATCCATTCACAGCCAATTTCCAACCCAGATAATTTAAACCAAATCCATTCACAACCTATTTTCAACCCAATGATAAACCTTAATAACCACAATTCATTTACAACCCCACTTCCAACACAAATAATAAACCATAATAAACCTAATCCATTCACAACCCAAATAATAAACCATAATAAACCACAATCCATTCACAACCTATTTTCCAACCCAAATAATAAACATAGTAAACCACAACCCATCCAACCCAAATTAATAAACCACAATAAAACCACAACCATTCACAACCCATTTCCTACCCAGATAATAAACCACAATCCATTCATTCATTCCAACCTTGATAATAATCCCAAACCATCTCCTTGTTGAACGCAGTATCGCTAGTGAGACGCGCGGGGATACATCTTAATGAACGTGTAACATTCCTTCGACGCTGCTGCTGATCGTGAGTTACGTCACCCTGTACTTCCGCGTCGGCATCTTCCAAGCCAGGGTTCTGGGGACTCTCACCGCCCTGTTGGTCATGGCCACGCTCTTCACGCAGGTGGGTGAGGGGGGAGTGGGTTGGTTGGGAGGGAGAGGGTAAGAGGGAAGGGTTGGTTGGGGGGGAGTGAGGTAAGGGGAGGGGTTGGGGGGAGGTTTGTGTGTAAGTGTTTGGTTGAGGATTATTGAGGTGTGTGTGTAAGTGTTTTTTGGTTGAGAGCGGGTTATATGTGTGTGTGTGTGTGTGTGTGTGTGTGTGTGTGTGTGTGTGTGTGTGGTGTGTGTGTGTGTGTTGTGTGTGTGTGTTTGGTAGAGAGAGAGGGCGGTAGCTAAGATTTTTTTTCTCTCTCTCCCTTCTTTTTCAGCTCTCAACGCTATATAGAATACTTAGTAATAAATAGTATATATATATATTATATAATATATATATTATATATATATATATATAATATATAATATAATTATTTATAATAATATATTCAATATATATATTTTTTTTTTTTTTTTTTTTTTAAGCAAGTATAACCAATATGCCATACTATTGATACTGGACTATATGAGCAGGCAAACAAGTATCAGTATTGAATCATACTTCCTAATTATATCGAAAAAAGTACATTTAGAAAATATTCAGCTGCCTAATATCGCTTCTAATATATCTAAATAAAAATAACATTCTGATATCCTGAAACCTGCCCGATACACCGACACGCCCTAGAACTACATCCTCTTTCTCCCCAGGCGTCCTCGCACCTCCCGAAGACGTCCTACTTCAGATGGTGGACGTGTGGCTCCTACGTGCATCTTCGTCATCTCATCGTCATCGTCTTTCACGTCATAATCGACAGGGCGTTCGAGAGGGCCGAGAGAGCCCTCCTGCGATTCCTGCAGCGCCTTCGCCCTCCCCTGCAGTGCAAGCCGTGAAAGTGCATCCCTCAGAGAGGAACCGCTGCCCACAGCCCCCTCCAAAGACCCGAGAGGCGCCTTGGAGTTCTTGTCCGCCGGCAGGAGATCAAGTCTTCACCTTCGTCAGCGTGTTCGCTCTCCTCTCTATCAGAACCTAATCCTGGGAGCTCGCGTGGTCTCGCGCGCTCTCACGTTCAACATTGTTTACTGGAGCACTGTATTTCTACACTAATTATTCTTACAGTGATTTATGAATGTCCGGTAACTGCACCGGTCTTATTCATGTCACTTTTATCCAACCTTCATCTTTTTCTTCGTTGTTGTTGTTGATAACACCGTTGTTGCACATGTCGTTCATATCACATTCATTCTACATTATTTTCTCTGTGTATCTCATGTGTTTATTAAGAGGTATTTTATCATTGTTCATTGTATCTGTAGAATGTTCATTGAAAAACAAACCTTAAATTTCTAGTCATGCTGTTCGTATCACTGTGTATACTCGTTCATCATCATTCTTTTCCCACAATTCATTCATGGTATTCTTTTCCTTTGTGGTGCTATTCGTATTACGTAAACATACTTTGCATTTTTAATCACGGCCTTGCACCACCTTCCATTTATCAGAACTGTTTTCATAAGCTATTATTGATGACTGTAATACACACTGGATATTCAAATAAAGAGAATTCGTGCGCAGAGTTTGCAGAATAAAACTTTTGGAATGGAAGCGGATCGGAATGTAGTTTAGGGGAACGATGTCATAAAAAAGCAATCACATCATACGCTCCTGCGCATGAATACACGCGCACACACACACACACACACAAATATTATATATATATATATATATATATTATATAAATATATATATATATATAATATATAATATATTATATATATATACACACTCACACTCACACTCACACTCACACTCACACTCACTCATCACTCACTCACTCACTCACTCACTCACTCACTCACTCACTCACTCACTCACTCACTCACTCACTCACTCACTCACTCACTCACTCACACACACACACACACACACACACACACACACACACACACACACACACACACACACACACACACACACACACATATTTATATTGTAACCCAGTTATATGTGTGTGTGTGTATGCATCTAATTATTATATTCTACATATTCATATAATCTTACATGTTTGTCACATTCGTATCTTCACATATACATATACATATGCATACACGCCTGACCATTGCTTCCCCTATTTATTCCTCTTTTCTTGCCACACCAGACATTCCAATGTTGTGTCTATCCCTCCCACAAGAGCTATGTATTAATGTAACGCTTACTTGTTCGTCACCGGTTACCACATGTTAACAACGTGAGATGACAAGCAGACTCCCTGTGTATACCAAACCTAAACCCTCAAAATCATTATTTTCTGACCGATAAACTGACAGTGAGAGAGAGAAAAAGGAAAACCGACTCTTCCTATTCAGAACAGAATTTTAGTTCAAACAAATCAACAGATTTTTGATGAGGACAATACCAACACCAGTAAAAAAATCATCATAAAGCAACATTTTCTTTTTTTAGGATCGTACAAAACACATCACAGTTTCAAGCAATTTATTTATGCCCCATTATGGTACATATATACAAATCCTCCTCATAAACATCTGCTTAGCAGATGTTATTTTTTCAACATGCTAACCTTTGTAAAACAGCATTGAAACCGTTTCATTCCAATATTAATTATAAATTTGTTGGATAGCTATTTCATAACAAATTTGAAATGGTAGAAACAGTAGCAGTCACTTGTAATTTCAGAATTTTGAAATTACTTTTTAACAAAAAAATCAATTTTCTTTAATGCTAATGCAAATTCTGGGGTTTGGCCATTCTTGCTTTATCGTTGTTACCACAATTCATCCAAGCCAAACCAAAGAAATTGAACCACCGGAAATAAAGCTTACTTTTCGCCTCCCTTTAAACAACTATATGTAAAACAGACTCGCACGTTAACATCCACAGGCCCACTGATTGTCTTGCCTACTCGAAAAAGATGACAAAGATCACAAATCAACTGAAAAATAATAATACCAGAGTCTGAGTAGTTGTAACTGTCCATTCACTTTCCAGGAAGTGACAATAATATGGAAGGAAAGATGCGAGTACACTCCTGCCTCCTTGAATCTCTAAATATTATGTACAAAAACAAGTGAGGCTGCAAGAGAACTCTGATCCCGTCTGTGCTTTAACGAGGATGATATAATATTAAAAATTATATAAAATGACTAGCAGCGTTACTAATTCATGGCTGAATTTGCATTTCAATGGGGATGCTGCATTCCCACACGAAAACAGCACCCGTTATTGGAATGTGGACACAATTGCAAGTTGAAGTTTCCAGGAAGATATGTACAGACATGCTTCACAAGCTGAGCACACGCATTTACATTGAGCTTCCAAAGAAAATATCACATATAAATTCTCCACCTTGAGCTGCAACATCCTTTATAGGACAAGTTGTACAATGACGCCGCGTCGACTTCGGGGTCCTCCAACGTATCCCTGACTCGAGGCTTAGCCTGTCCAGGGTAACCGTCCACAGCCGCCTGCGAGCTGTTTCAGATCACGGAGCTGGTTCTCCTTACGGGACGCGGGAGGGTTTTTTGTGATGCCTCGGAAGACAGACCCTGTTTTACAGCATGTCTTAAATTACGTAACAACATGAATGAGTCAGTCAATTCGGTAGACATATTTTTACGATCGTTACTGTTCTGAATAATTGAACTATGCCTACCACATGATCCAACGCAAAATAACTTATCATAATACCCTGATACAAATATACCACTGATGAATACAGCCAAGAAGAGAAAGAAATATATATAGACACTTCACTCTTAAGTTGAACTTCTTAGACACATGATGACCGCCATAATCTTGATGGCCGGACCCAACTTGATATGCAGGAGGTTGACCAGGTCGTTCTGCGTCATCATCAGGAGCGCCTCGCCGTCGATCTGCTGCTCCACGAACACGGAGGACACCTGCTCGCACCCCGGGATCCTGGCCACGAGCTGCTGGACCTGGCTCGCGTCCCAGGCCTCGACGTCGGCCCGCTTGGCGTCGCCCAGGGAGGCCGTGAGGTGGCGGTGCCGTTCCCACGAGTGCGGGATCGGGGCGGCCGGGTGCGGGTTGTAGCCGGGGTTGAACACGGACTGGTGCACCATCATGTCGACCCCGTGGTCAGAGGTCTGCTGCTGTTGCTGTTGGTGTAGGTGATGTTGTTGGTGGTGATGTTGGAGTTGCTGCTGCTGCTGCTGCTGCTGCTGTTGTTGCTGTTGTTGTGTCTGTTGTGCTTGTACCTGCTGTTGCTGCTGCTGTTGTTGTGCCTGTTGCTGCTGTTGTTGATGATGTTGTTGTTGCTGCTGTTGCTGATGGTGTTGTTGTTGTTGTTGTTGTTGTTGTTGTTGTTGTTGTTGTTGTTGCTGCTGCTGTTGTTGTTGTTGATGTTGGGGCTGCTGCTGTTGTTGTTGATGTTGTGGCTGTTGTTGTTGTTGCTGTTGCTGTGACTGTTGTTGTTGTTGCTGCTGCTGAGGGAAGCCCGTGGGCGATACCTGGTTGGACGAAGTTGGCGTTGTCGCATTTGATGTAACAGTTGTTACCGTTATCGGTGCTGTGGCGGTGGCAATGGTCACGGTACACGAGGATATTGCACTGGGTAATATATTAGAATTGCTGGCTGCCCTGACCTCCTCATTCGCCTTTGGCACCTTCTGTGGTCGAGTGGGCTCCGGGGGACTCAATTCGTCAAAGAACTTGCGTCTCTTCCGGACCCTCTTCTTCTGGCAGGGAGTCTCGTCTGCAAAGGCATCCTTGTTCCCACTGAATGGACGGAGATCCAGCTTGACTTTCGGAGCAATCTTGCCCTTCTTCTTCTCCTGGGCTGGCTGAAGTCTGTCTGGGATCAAAGTATCCAAGTCCTTGTTCAGATTTTGTGTAGAGTATGGGCAGCCATACGCCGTGTGGTGGGTGGTATAAATGGGGCCTTTCACATGTCCAATGCCCTTACAGCCTGCTGTTCCACACCCCATGCCAGAATCTACATCCTCTGCCTGTTGTTCTGGGGTTAAAGGTGGCTGCAGAGGGTGGCCTGTCTTGTTACTCCATGACGGTGGGTGGATGTCTGGCGAGTCATCATCAAGCCAGTAGTCGTAGGCATCACCCCAGCCATCAAAATGGATTTTTATTTGGTAGTCTTGCACATCCACTATGGTGGCCACACGTATGAGACTCGGATTCCTCTTATCAACAACCTCTAGTTTCATGTTCTTCTTGAACTCTCTCGGAGGTCTGGTCTTAAAAGCCCTGGCAGGGACAGCCATGGAATTGGTTTCCTGGATGTACTCATGCCAGTTGAAGCTTTCTGGATTTGGGTAATTATTTGGAGGGTGGAGGACGATGTTATTGTCTGCACACCATCCAACTGGGTGGATGTAAGGAGATGACACTTCACTCCAGAAGTCAAAGGCTTTGTCCCATCCATCAAAATGGATGAGTACACGATTATCAAGCACATCAGCCACTGTGGCTACACAGACCCACATGTTCTTTCTGTCTTCTGCCTCGAGTTTCATGCCCACCCGGAAATTATTAGGTGGGATGACAGTGGAATTACCTTTATTGGCAAAGGCTTGTCTAGGTGCCGTCTGAGCCTTGCAGTGCTCTAGATATGCCTTCCAAGAAAATCCTAGCACTCCAAGGGGTGGCTCCAGCTGCCGGCCATTCTTCTCACACCAGCCAGCCGGAAAAATGTTTGGTGAATCAGCATTGACCCAGAAGTCGTACTGGTCTGAGTAGCCATCAAAGTGGAGCCTCACCCTGTACCCAATGGTTTCAGCCACCGTCATGACACAAAAGAGTGACTGGTGTTGAGGGTCAATGGCCTCCAACTTCATGCCAGCTTTAAAGAGATTCCTGCCAAAGGGAAACGGCTCTGGCCACAGCTTCAGGGGTGCCGCCTTTGCCATGCCTTTTGCTCTTCCACAGTGCTCCAAGTACTTCACCCAAGAGAAATTGTTCTTCCCATCTTGCCACGGATGCTGAAATCGGCTCACTAGGGACTCCGTGCCCATGAGATTCCTTGCTTGTCTGGATTCTTCATCGCTGACCTGCCCTGATTCCTCGGCCTCACTGCGGTTTCCCTCCCTCCCTTCGCAGCCAGCCCCCTGCTCATCTCCCTCGCCTTTTTCACACTGCCTGAGCTTCTTCCTCCTCTGTCTCTCCTTCTCCTGCTTGAGCCGTTCTTTACCCCACTCCAGTTCTCTTGCATCGTGTTCCTAAAATAAGACAGGCATTCATTAAAAATGAATAGGATTCCCACACTAATTCAGTGCAGTAGTAATGCCTTCCTTCTAAAAAAAAAAAAATACACTTACAATAGTCGCATTAAAAGTTACAAAACACAATATGATATGCACTAATAAAGACTACTTTTTGAGAAAACTTCAAAAAAAGAAAAGTCATGATCCTTCCGTTATAGTTTTTACTTCACACTAATGAGTGTATATCACTGATAACACAACTAATACAGGTATTTGAATGAATGCAATTAGTGAAATCAGTTAGGTGTACTAATATTTATTTTTCATATCCAAAAAGATTTAACTCTTATTATCATTATTATAAACGGAGTGAGGAGTGAGGAACATGGCAGATGATTAAAAGAAATCAGGAAAGAAGATCAGATATAAGATAATTTGCATTTGAACTTAAATCAATTACAATATAAATGGAAATAAACAAATACAAATACTTACATCTCCACAGGCAACAGAACAGAAGTTGCTGTCACGGAAGAACTCTGAACTAAGGCCATAACAGCCGCAGTTCTTACAGCAACAGATGTCGTCAGATTCTCTCGTTGACTTATTCCCTTGTGACTCTGAATCCTGGGAATTGTCTGAGAATATTTCCTCATCCTTTATGAGGTCACGGAAGTTGGGTTTGCGTGCATGATGTCTGGGGGTGAGTGGCTCCACCTTCTTGCAGTGGTTGTTTTTGATGTCTTCCAGATCTCTGTCCTCAATAATCTCCACAGCATCAAACTCGTTGATCTTGAACTTGAGATCCGTTCCATCTAGCTTTCCAACCCCATCCTCCCACTTCAGGAGTTCGATGAACTTCACTTTTTCAGGCTTAATGTCTTCTTCTGCCTCTTGCTGCTTGGGCTTCCCGGCTGGGCTGTTATCAGCCTTGTGGTCGGTACAGTTTTCAGCTTCTCTTGATGGAGACTTTTCCTCCTTCACTCTGTCCAAGGGCTCAACCTGCACCTCATGGCTTGGGCTAGAACTCCTTGACGAGTTTTGTGACTTGTTCAGCATTGTCCGCAAGATCTCTTTTCTCACGTCAAGCACCTGTGACTCCGAGTCGATGTTCATTGGCTCTTCCTTTACCCTGACCACTTCTTCATTTGCCTCCTTCTCCTTCTCTGGTTCCACGAATTCTGTGTCTGGCTTCAGCTGCTGCTCGTGGTCATAGGTATCAAGGTAGGGTGGGAAGTCCTCTGGGCCTCTCTGTCTGCTCTCCTCTAGCGCAACCCCAAGCTGGCTGACAGCTTTCTGCAGAATATCTTCTCTCTCTCTGTTGATGGAATGAAAGGAAAAGGTTGTTTATGTGGGAAAGCATTATATGGAATATGTATATTACTCTAAAAAATCGGAGTCTTTCCCTTTGGGTTCATGCTCTTTCCCTATAAACTCTTGAAAAAGCATATAAATAATAAATCACCAGCTTTTTCAAGAAAATTCTTTGAGAATTACTCCTACAAGTTGAATATATTGCAAAGTTTGAAAAAATTTACTCATTGTTACAAAGAACAAGAAAAACAAATAAATATATAAATAAATAAAACAAAAACCAGCTTACCCTTTGTTTGTGCACATCAAATCTCTTGTATCTATAGAGGAATCGTCATCAACAGTTGAGCTTATTGGAGGTTCAGGTACTGATCTTGCCACAGTCACCGTCATTGGCAGTGACGTTGGTATGGACACTTGGTTAGACAATGGCACTGAAGATGTTGCAGTTCCAGGGACAATCATTGGCCCAGTTCCTATCCCTGGTCCTACCCCAGGACCTGCGCCTGGCAATGACCCCGTGACTGAAACTGTCACAGATCCTGTTCCGACAGCATGGGCCAGACCAGCCATCACAATAGGGTTATCCTTCCGCTCATCCATTTGCTTGCCTCCTCCCTGGACCATTGGCCGAGCTTCCCGAAGAACTGCAGAGCAAAAGGATAGAAACCAGTTAATATGCAAGCAATACCTTGAATCCAAAAATCTATATAAGGTCCTATAAAGGCTTTCCACTCTTTAGTTCCCTTTCTCTTTACTTTTAACCTTATCTTTTATCTTTCCAGTCTTCACTTTTGTTTTCAAACACACTCGCATCCAAAATCTCTTAAACTGTGCTGTAATACAAGTCACAACTTGCATCTATAATTTTCATATTTCTATACTAAAACTAAATAAATCAGTAAATCAATTTATATTGACTGACAGCAAGATAAAGACTAACTGAACAACAGATACAGATATATAAAACACGCACACACACACACACACACAAAAATAAAAACTTACCATCAACTTGCTGCATGCTATCAGCTTGAATCTGTCCATTTGATATCTTGAAATTGATCATGTTGGGCTTGTTCTGGCCGAGATTAACAGAGAGCATGTTCACTGGGTTGGGAGTGGGACCTGGTACTGTCCCTGGTTGCTTGGTACCCTGAAAAAATGTGCAATAAAAGCTTTTAAAATATGAAAAATTTGTAAATCATGATAAACTGTAAAATATTCATATATATAGAGTGAAACAAGCAGGCAAAAAATATAAAAGCAAACAGATAAATAAAGATGGGACAAAAAAAAAAAAAAGGAAAAAGTGAGATCCCACTTCAACAAAGCACCAAATATACAAGAAACCAAATAAACAGAAACCAAATATCATACACCCCCAACAATGATTAAAACCACATATTAAAAGACAAAAAAAATATAAATAAGAATGAACAATTCCATTATGCAAGTTTGTAATGAACATTTCATTGCTAAATTATCAGAGTTAACATGCTTCTCACTCCATTGAGGATGCATATACACTTTGCATTGTGGAATGATGCACCCTTCTTCCTTTCCTTTGTAATTTCTTCAGTGAACCTCA